CTAAGGGTAAGAAAGGTCTATTGGCCATGTTTTTGTTTTGAATAAATAAAAATTTAAATTGTTCGGCTTTTTGAGATCCTTCTGTTGCGGAATTAGCGGCAAACTGTAGTCCAGTAAACAGTAATAATTTATTAGGGCCAGTGTCTGTTTGTCACATATATTGTTACAGTGTGGTCACAATCAAACCTGAATGGCCAATTGTTGGGTTTTCAACGGAAACTACAACAACGTGTGCGATTAGCCGAACACGTTGTTGTCTTTATACTTTACACAGCTTTAGCTAGATTTCTTAGTACATTATATACATGTTATATTTTCCTCATAGGACTTCAATAAATACTACCTATAAACATTGCCCATCATTTAATTGGTAAGAACGTCCGCAAAACCTCCGCAATGGTTCTCGATTGTAGAAGAAGTTTCGAGATTATCAACAAATAATCGAGTCACTTCCATGCTTGTCGATGACAAATCACTTTGAACAGGGAATCTCTGACAAGGTTCCATTTATTTGACGACAACTTAATTACTCCGCACACTGCAATTATATACTAGAGACGATAACGGTTATAGCTATCGTAAAACTATAACGTTTAACTATTTAAAAATAGTTGCCCACTATAAAATCCCTAGTCTACGATTCTAGGGTTTACTAGAATTGACCTTTAAATTGTAGCTATAAACAAAACCTAAAAATGATTATAATAATGCAAGATTAATTAAAGGAATTTGCAAGTCAAATATTCAAGTATAAATAAAATCCAAAAATGTATTTGCCATTTAATTAGTTTCTAAGACTTCTATACTGCTACTGTTCTCGTTTGTAATTCAAGTAAGTAGCTAAGCATGTAATCAGTGAGTGTAAAGGTATCGGTAATAGAAATGTTGAAAGGTTAAGAAATGAAATAGAAGTGGAAATTTGTATTCTGTTTCAATTTGAGGCCACCTATTGTTTACTGCACGACAACTACTAATCTTATAGCGTTGTTTATTTTTCTTTTATAGGTAATTGAAGACCATCTCGTGGACCTTTACTGCCATTATTACTCTAGTTTGAGAACTCATCTTTTCTTCACGACTTGGAACATCGAGCTAGTGTTCATTTCCAGGCGACGTAAAGTATACTTGAACATCACTGTCAATTTGTATACATATTACGAAACTAATTACAACTATTACACGGCTCCTGGACAAAGTCAAAGGTGAGTTTGATTTTCACGGTGATCGTGTTCGACATGATATATCAAAGTTGTTCTGTTTCACAACGCCGTAAGGACTATATAGAGTATAGAGTTAGACTCATACATGCATGATATCATATTGATATAATATATTGGCCTTTTTCTATATAAGCTTAAATAAGTACATATTCAATCGTTTGTATCATGATATGTTTAAGAATTTTGAGATTTGAAGATATCATACTATTGTCCTTGGAAGTAATATTGCGACGAGTTTCAAATTTGGATTTTATGTAGTTCAAAAGTGAGCAGGAGAACTAGCAAACTACCCTTGCAGGCATCAGAGCAAATGCAATATTTTCTGCATTAATATATTATAGACAACATTTTGTACATTAATATATGTATGTATATTTCCTTTCAAAACCTATCATGTTACATCATACATGGATATAAATCTGGGCGCCATGTACGATATATTGTTTACACGGTCTTGAAATAAGGTTTAAATGTACCATGAGTCCATGACGAATTATAACTGGAAATTTGCATGGGGAATTTTACAGTTATTTTGAATGACTGTTATACGATTTATTTGCAACGCACCATGGCTCATGATACCTGCCATATTATATGAACATGAATTGAGACCTGCATTACGTTGCATTACGGCGCAAACTGGCGGTGAGTTAACTGAATGTTCCTTATATTTAGCTTCGACCTATCAAAGGCACTTGGTCTTGATGAAGTCGCATTTTAATTATTAAAATGTTCATAATGCTAAGTTGAATTCAGTGATAATGAAACCACCCAAGCGTCGATTTTCTTTCCATATGTCACAACTTGTCTCATAATCGTTCATCTGTGCTTATATAACTGGACCAAACGGTATGCGAATATGCATAAAGTCGGTACGCGCACACATCAATTCGATTAGAAAAACTGGAGATCAGAAGCTAAAGAGTAAAGTATGACTCCAATGTTCTAGAAAATTTAAATTATAAACTCCCGACGAAGGATATACTTGTTTCTAGTTATTTTATAACTGCATATATAGAAGAGAATATTTGGGCTATCAAGTTTGAAGTTAGTCAATGGAATATAAATAGTTATGCACTGCGACAACTCCTGTTAGTCAACGAAAATGGACTTTATGTCACAACATGCTTCCCAATTTTCTTAGTCATGAGACCATGAATAGCAATGATTATCCAAAGATGATGCTTGATTCAGTTCTTTAAGTTCTGCACTTTTTAACTCGTGTTTTTCATGCACATCCACCAAGTCTGAATTGAATTTCTTACGAATATTTACTATTTATAATTATATAATTATATAATGTTAATACCATCCCTAAAATTCGCTGTTTAAGCATTGATTGTATGTCATGAAGAGTAAGTAGTTTACTCAATGCACATGCATGCGAGGGTATAAAAGGCGGATGTGGTAGAAAATCGCCATCATAAGAAATGCAATTCCAGATTTATTTGAATTATACATGCTATATATGAACAGGTGATGTTTGTTGTATCTTACATAAGGATCGAAATATTGATGTACCTTCCTCTCACTTTGAAGCTTGCACGTCAAGCAGAAATAGGATGAGATTTGTGCCTAGTTGTGACCTCACGATCCATTGCCTGCAGCAATACTAAATGGCAATGAGAGAATGAGCCTGGGCTAGACAGGGAGAAGTTGACTAAATACTAATGTATAAATACGTTACATGTAATGATTGATGCGGGGCTTAGTTGTCAATCATGCAGAATTACTTTTAGAAGTAACTACTATTCAATCGTCCAACTATTTATTTAATCGTGTTGAACTGCAGGTTTCATGCAACCGACCCACCCATATGAAAATTAATATCCAATTGGAATTTAGGCCAATTTCCAATTGGAATGAGTTTTCTGTCCAAAGGTCAATGGATTGCGATAAGAAAATATAAATTCCCATTGGAATTCCGGACCCAATTGGAATTTGGGTCAATTTCCAATAGAAATTCCTATTGGATTTTTTTGTAGCATGCACGTTTAAAAATATTTTGAAACCGTTGCTGACAGCGGCATTGAAATTCCCATACTCAGCTCTGTGAGAAGATGCTGGTAAGGCGAAGAATATAGACAAATTTCCTGATTGTTTATCTAATTGAAGTACTTGAGATCCTTAAAATCCACTTTATATGCATGTGAAGTGCAGTTCCATACCGTTGCTCGCTAACGCATGTGTTCGTTTGTTTAACATCCCCGATGTTTTCGCACGATGATCCTTCAACTCAGATATATTATAGTGTGGAATAAGTATTTTCACATTTGATAGTTTGCGCTGTGAACCTAAATCCTGACACTTGAATGTCAATGCTGTTGTTTTGGCCATCACTGTATAACAATCTTTTCACCTAAATTACACAAGAAGAATGCGTAATCAAGACGTAGGAAGATTCAAGGGATTGCACTCTTTTAGTCAAGCCACGTCTGAAAATCGACTGTTTAAGATTTGGATCATCTATATTTTTGTGAGTCACAGAACATCACGGTGACGATGGTTGTTTGAAAAGGCATGTGGTTTTTGACAATCTGTAGCTCGTAAAGTATATAGACGTCTTATTTATAGATGGTTCCAATATTGAATGCAATTCTGGGATACCATGCATACAGTTTTCACAAAAAAGTTCAAACCACTTTCGGCCCTGACTCTTGACGATCATTCGATAGACTCAAGTAAAGTGCATCCAATATCTCCTCTGAAAACACGAAAATATCAAGTATCTACCTCAATATTTTATTGTCATGACGTCATTTGGTTCGAGTCCTAAAGGCGAAGGAAACATTTGAAAATAGTGAATAAATCCTGGTTCGGTCTAATATAAATGCATAAAAAGTACACTCGAAATTCCCATCTACAAATCCCCTCCATTGCTCCAACAATGAGTTTTATCGAGTCAGTGAGATGCCCTAAATATTTACTGAAACAATTTATGATCAGATTAATTTAGGGACGATGTTTGTACCGTTACTCTGAGTGTATAATCCACACCGGGCATGCAAGCTTGAAAAGTATGCCTGGGCACGGTGGGAATCGAACCTACGACAATCAAAGGGAATATTATTATTATTACTATTACAGAAAAAATTAATAATTTAGGGACGTTTTGAAGGTACTTCCGTATTAAGTATTGTGAAGTTCATTGTTTCTCAAACTTTCTGCTATACATTCTGACACGCTTAGTTTTAATTCCAAAATTCCTTTGTCACAATTGGTTGCAATGGTCCTGTTCCCAGGTTCTTCACACATTATGGGAATGTTAAAATACCGATCAGCAGGACAAATATATGCTGCTGTGTTTTTGATCTTTTGGAGTCTACTAATGAGCTTGGGCGTGGAATGTTAGTTAGACGTTTTACGATTGACCTTGATCTACTGATCTATGCGTCAAAATGTACGTCAAAATGTACGTCAAATGATACCTAGTCATCCTTTATATTTTGCTGTAAATATAAATAATTGGGTGTTGTTTTGTTATATGAGCATTCGTGATCTGTATTAAGATAGGAATTGTATAAATTGGAAATATTTTACCATCTACAAAGTTTGTACATGCAAGGTTAATGGTACTTTTAAAGTAAAATATAGTGATATGTTTCATGATAGTCATTCTGCTACTATGTACATTACATAAAATATGGTTGCATGAATGCTTTGACTCGATCTGCCTTAAACAATTATCATAACAAAGATTCTTTGATTGCATGACTGGTGAAGAGGTGTCGGAAATAGCCAGTGAATTTTATTACTGTCAAGAATAAAGCATGGAACATTTGGCACTTCAAAGATGTAATTCTATTGGCAGCCGTGAACAAGGCCATTCAGAAGATCATTGTGGTTTTGTAAACAATCTTGAAAGTCAGGCGATAATGAAGTGTGATTAAAAATGATTATGGATTCAAAGACTGTCATATAGTATACGACGTGACATAAAATCATTTAGTTGGTTGCCTGATTCACAGATAATCTGATGATTCCATTAAGCAACAACATAATTTAATCAAGCCAAGGCGTAAATCATATCAGCAATTCATAAGTATATATTTGATCGATACAATGTTTTTGGACTCCCAGCAAGCTAAATTGTTTATCAAAGTTGATGGTGTGATTGGTGATCGTAGACGAATTTGTATTTTTTGTAACAACTCGATTCATGGAGCGGAGAAAATTGTTGAGACGACACGAAAGTTGCGACGTGGACCGTATTTTCCTCAGCTTGCTCATCTACAGTCCTCTGTGGGTAAGATTGACACAATGGGTAGAGCAATTGTATGTTTGCCGTGTTTTCATCAGCTTGTGAGGCAGTGGAATTCATATGAAATGAAAAATATACCCATGTCAAGACGAATATATAAACATGTTGCAGGTAAGAGTGTGACTTTCTTAACTTCAGATCTTCGCTTCGTTCTCGTAGAGAAGCTGTACTTGAGAATATATTTCTGGTTATGGTGAATTATAGTTTTTATTCGAATTTAAGTTTACTTACTTTTTCGTTGTATTCTCATGTTGAAATTTTTATGTCTTAGACCTATCGGTTCAGGAAATAATTTTTCCTCTTGTGCAAGAAATATAGTCTGAGTTCGTTATAATCTTTAGCTTTGATTCAGGTTTTCAATCTAGATCGTAACTGTTACAGTAAATTTCAGTAAGATATGTATTATTCTGTATAATGTATATGTTTACAGTCTGCTTCGAAAAATAATTTACGGCCGGACTATGGTTACCGTACCTTACAATTTACATGTATACTTAACGTTCAAACTATAACATACAGTTGGATTTATTTGTATTTGTATTTAATGAATTTTGTCACAAAATTATAGCTACAACAGCGTGCCTGCTAATTTCAGGGAGTTACTTTAACTCCCAGTAGAGCTCAGTAGGGTTGTTTTGAATAGTTTAGCTCCAAATGTGGAGTAAAATTGGGTTCAAAATAACTCCACTGGAGTTAAATTACTCCCTGTAATTAATAGGACCCAATGTCCCAATTGAAATCTACCTTCTGCTATGTATTTATGAACCGTTGTATCTCAGTTCCAAGAGATCCTGCTATGAAATTTAAAAAGTCAAGATTTGTACACAACATGAAGTTAATTGAAGATAAATATTCCTACCAACTTTGACAGCCTTTGTTCAATATGTTTTATGCCATCTACGAATTTTTATTTTCATTAATGCATTGTTACATGCAGTATTTTGCGTTCCTAATCATGGCAACGGCAATGGTAATACTATAACAGGCTATGGAATCAGAAAACTATATACATTACTTGGTTGAAAAAATATTTTACATGTTTGGAATTATTGTTTAAGAACAATTAGCGAATAGTGCATGGATGAATATGCAGTCAAAGAGCACAACGTTTGCCGTTGAACTCGGAGTACACGTAAAGAAATAGCTATAGACTCGGTTTCTATAACTATTTAACAACTTCACCAGTTATCGTGCATATCTATTCTTTAATCTTTATATTTGAAGAAATAACCAATCTATAGAAATATATAGAGAACATGCTAGTATATTCAATGACAATGAACAAATATAAAGCTAGCTATCAATGTTACATATAATTATACAGCTTTGCCGCTATACTTTGCATAACAATAACCTATTAGGGCATGTGGTGCCTTGGAAACACGTAAAGAATCCTTGCCCATGCATTGTCAAATCAGTCTATTTATAGTGAATTTGAATCTTTCTGATATTCATCGCAATGAATTTTAAGTTATCTTAAAAATAGTGTATTTGTCTTACGAAAGTTATCTTCCGACTCCATACAGTAGACTTGTATATTCCAAGAAGATTTTCTGTTTGTTAGATTTATAGCTCTTTTGAGCTTGAATTGGTATACAACGAATGCATTATTAACGTGTACATTATAATATATAATTTTTATTATTCTGTAATAAATAACTTATTTGTTATTGTACAGCCGTCCTAATGATATCGTATGGGATTGAGATTTTTGTGGTACATGTATACTCTAGAATTAAATTGCGCTTGTTTGTTGGTATAGATAAAGGGGTTTTAGTTAAAGGAAGCACTTGACCTCATTCATCATTTTAACTTTGCATAAGTGGAGAAACATCGAAAACACTAAGAACGTTTAACAATCGATAACGTTCATTAAATTAAAGAGGGTTTGTTGAAATTATTTATATAATCGTTCCATGTATTCGTTCCCTCACTCTTAAACTTTTTGTTTAGTTCTTGGTTGAATGAGAAACAATTCGAATTTCGCTTGGCTCAAGCTTTGCTAAAGGCCCTGTCACACTATTGCGTATGAGAGAAACGTATGAGAAGCGTATGAAAATTAATGAAATAATTTTCATAATTTTCATACGCACAAAAATCCTTTGAAATGCCAGCGTATGAGTACCGTACATGTGGCGTACCTCTAGCGTATTCAGCGTGTGCCTAGAGTATGCTTATCGTAAAAGGCATACGTCCGATACGCACAAAATTTTTGAACATGCTTAAAAAAAGTTTTCTGGCTCGCCGTATGCCAGCGTATGTCACCGTATATGCGACCGTGCTTGAAACGTATACAACCTACGCCTAACGTACCCCTAGCGTATGTCAGCGTATACCGGCGTATGAGTGATATTTTTCATACGCTGGCATACGCTAGTATGATACGCAAAGTGTGACAGGGCCTTAAGGTTGAGTTGCATGTAGCGACACTGACTACATGGGGTCGTAATTCGTAAGTTAATTGAACTGGCACCATTAACGACAATAAAATATAATTAAAAAGAATCGGAAGAAAATATCATCGTGGTGAGAGTGCAATATACGAATTATTATTATTATACGTGTTTTACAGACTGTACAGTAAGTCATGATGCACGAAGTTATCATTCTTCCTGATGACAACGCTGAAATAAAAACTCCTGATGACACGCGTCTTTTAATTAACTGTTTAATTCATATATGAATATTGAATTTCAGAATGGCATTTCATCAAAATTTGTTTCTTTCTATAATTTTTCAAATGGTCGTCTGGCCATTATATATGAAACCTTTATTTGATATAGGGTATATTAATAATGCCCTGATTAAACCGTTCAGATTATTTTCTTCACATTTTCTGTTATACTTCTAGACAAAGGCGTCAAAAATTACCAAGAAACGAGAGCTAAAGAAATTGGAGCTGAGGCAGAGAAAAGAGCGTTTGCCATTCAAACTAACCAAGAGCATATTGTGAAAACAGCTTTTGACAGACTTACAAAACGCCTGGACGTACAAGAGGAAATTATACGGCAAAGTGAAGAATGCATAGAGAAGTTGAAACTTAAACTTGCTCTCTGCACGAAAGGCGAGCAGTGGAAAATAGATCGTGAAATAAGAAAGCAGCAAAAGATTATTGCTGCAACCGAGGCACGAATTGAAGACGAAGAAGATAAAGAGGAATTAATACGAAGAGAAACAAAATCATTGCTTGAAGTTTATAAACAGAACCAGTCGTTATTTCGAGCAGTTTCTGAACCAAATCTCTTTCAAAGCAATCTTGAACATACTGCAAAGGAAAAACCCATTGTAATTGAGGGCTGCACTGACCGTGTTTCTGAACAGCAAGTAGAGAGCTCGCAGCAGAGTGGAGTTGATAGCAGTGCGAACATGAATAGAAATCAGCATTTTAGAGAGTATGAATACAATTATGTTGACAACGGTGGTTACACAGTTGTTAAAGCAATGAGAATATCACAAAGCGAAGATGAAACTGACAGCTATCGTCCCAAAGCCCATGTTCAAAATGATGGGAGAGATGTCTGGAACGCACTGGAGCTTTCGAGAGAGTATGTGCAAAAAGAGCCAGTGCGCGATAATTCAGATTGGCATATGACAAAAGAAATTATTCATCCGGCTCGATCAATCGAAGTGCAGTCATTTCCAGAAGACGAATGGTCAAAGTTGTTTGATAAAGAGCAAAATGACTACGAAAATCAATATGAGTCTGGGAACACAGTGCGTAGCTCAGTGACTTGGAGTCCACAAAGAAACAAATCGCCTGATGGTACGGAATGGAGACAAATTAAAGGCGACTTTGTTGAAAGGTAATATTGTATGATTCTGTCAGTTAGCTACTTCGAATTACCTCTACTTACTGTCGAAACAAATACGGAACGCCTCAAATGGAAGTTCTACACGTGAGATGTCCTCTGAAAAGAGGATAAGTATATGAATATATAAATGACGTATAGTTAATAAGCTTTTGTGAATTAGATGAGTAAACTAAATAAATTCTTATAAGCTTAGAGAGACATTGTTGTGGGTTGTTTGCTCTCATTCCCTTGATCGAAGTAAGCTAGACAAGACAAGCAATATTGCAAGAAACTGACAACAATTTTCGCCCCAAAATTAAACAAATTACAGTTGAGTAGCATATTACATGAAGAAACGAGGCTGAATTATTTTTGTTTTGTTTTTAGAGAGGAGCAACAATGGGACGAAACAGTAAACACAGATGATAGTGATGATGAAAAAGAACAGGTATATGGTTACAAATTATACAAACATGTGTACGATTTAAATACATCAATTTTTTAGACAGGCCATCAGAAAAATGAAGCGAGGGGTCCATACAACAACAAAAAATTCTCTGGAAAAAATTCTGCTCTGGAAAAAATTCATACAGCCATTAAAAGGTAGCAGAAAAATATATCGCAACACGAAAACCCCATAAAATCCATGGGTCCCCACTCTCCTTTCACTGAAAGGGGAGTGGGGGACCCATTTTCACTTTCTAATGGCCGTCCGTTATTACCATTCAACTATTCCTATATAATCCTCATAATTTCAATTCCTTCGCTAATCCTTATTCTGATATTAATCCTAACAGTTTATCCTTACCGAAGCCTATCACTAATCCTAACCCTTACCCCACAGTGGCGTGCTGGCAGGGGGGGCCGGGGGGCCACGGCCCCCCTAGCTGGCAATTCTTGGGGGGCGCAAAAATGAAAAGGGGGCGCCGATCCAGCCCTGAATTTTGAAAGTGGGTGGAAAAAAACGCGAAATTCGAAAGAATATAGTTACTTCCGCCAAGAAACTGAAGAGATGTGTTTATAGGCTTATAAACAGACTAAGAATATAGGCGACAAAGTGATATATTAAATTGTAGACTATTTTGTCTAACCGTATTTGCTAATTTGCTACCTCACGGCTCACACGAAATCGTTCATATCGAAACATGATCAGTGATCACACGCAATGTCTCATTACCGGAATATTGGTCAGGTTTCGAAGCGATCACGGGAATTATGCCCTTTTTTTCTGGCATTATGCCCTTTTATTACGCCCTTTATTATGCTTCACGAACCACGAGAGCGGCGCAAATTAGATAATTGAAGTTATGATAATGTAAAGTTGTGTACGCAATTTAGCTGTTTGCGCAAGAAACATCATGAGTAAATTGAGTAATGTAAGTAATGAAATAATGCTGAAACGCGCCCTTTTGGCAGCCAGACAAGGAAACCTTAAAATGCGTGAGGTCCGTGTGTTGTTATATAAAAGAGATGTAAGTTGTAAATGTATTCACATCGCTAGATCAGTAGAGAATAGAATTGGGGTTAGATTAATAGCTGGAAGTAGTTAGCATTGCCCTATTTAAGTACTACTACTAAATTCTAACCAAATTGCAAATTTCGACACGTTATAATGCCGTTTCCTGACCATCCGATTTCTGTCAAATCTTCCCCCAAAGTCCAGGAAATGGCATTTCAGAGACTCTAAATTCAAAAATTTTCCTGGGGGGCATGCCCCCGGACCCCCCTAGACAAACCTCGCACCTGTGGCGCTCGGCTCGTGCCTTCAGCCCTCGTTTATCAAGCGTAACATTATAGGGGCGCAGATTGGTTGACAGCCAACTGGCCCCCCCCAGAAAAATAGTACCCAGCACGCCACTGCAGACAGAGGTTCTGACAGCATTACAACAACTAAACCCCAACAAGGCTACTAGTGGTCATGACCTCCTACCTCCCAAGGCACTGAGAATTACTGCAGAGGAGATAGCTGGCTCGCTCACTATACCATATACAATCAGGTACTTGTACGGCGGAGTTTGGCCTGCGGATTGGAAATGAGGAGAATAGATTCCAATACATAAAAAAGATGATAACTTATCGAAGGAAAACTACAGACCGGTTACTATATTGATCGCTGTTGATAAAGTGTTCGAACAGCTTCTATGCAAGCAACTATGTGAATTGACAGATAAGATTTTGATCATTTTATGTCCGCGTATAGGAAATCGTATAGTTGCGAGACCACTCTAATTCGTCTAGTACGTGTAGGGCTGGAAACATGCACTCGATCACAATAAAGCCGTGGGAGTATTATATCATCAGATATGAGTAAAGCTTTTGATTCCATGTATCCACCATTGCTGCTCTCCAAACTTCAAGCATATGGTATGTCGAATAGTTTCTTGGCAATCCTAGAGTCATACTTTAAGGACCGTAAAAACAGGGTAAGACTTGGCAATAATGTTAGCAGCGATTGGAAAACTGTTACTCGTGATTGCCCACAAGGTTCCTCTTTGGGACCAGTTTTGTGGAATATATATCAAAACAATCTATTCTATATGAGAATATTAGCTCACAACTCTCAATGTATGCAGATGATCACCAACTCTATTCTTTAAATCAAACAATCAAAGAGGCATCAATGGTGCTGGAGATGGATGGAAGAATTACGGGAGAATGGTATAAGATCAACCCGCATTTGGAAGCCAACCTTAGTAAATACCAGGTTATCACAACTTTTGAATGACGTGTGCAAACATCTTGAAGAAAAGTTTCAAATTTATCCATCCAAGTTTTATATTTCGTATTAGATGCAACCACAACAATCCGTAAATCTTGATAATGTTCAATAATACACGCACAATTTTGAATATAGCAGTCTTTATCCCCAACAATACACCATCGCCACGCGTTTTACGATCATTTTTGAAAATGGTATTATCTGAATGTAGAATTCCGCATAGTAAACATTTGATGAGAGCCAAGTCCCATTAACGCAAACAATGTCGATGTCTTCCGCATACACAAAGTTTTGAAAACGATCGAGATTACTTTCCGTTTTGTGGTTTTTAAATTTTCACTAAGCTTGTCAAAATTCGCCGTGCATTCATGCAATGCCAGGCATTTTACAGATTTATGTGCGTCGTCTTTACATATAGGCCCCGGATTAATTTGAACACTGACGAGAAAGTCAATAAGGAACACTGAACATAAAGCGAAGGCGCAGTCCAAGAATTAGTTTTAGTGAATTTGCTAACGGTCTTCAAGTTGTTTCGTAGTTCGTCGACATTTTACGCCTTTGGAAACGTTTTTCGCTCTAGTCGCTTCGGTAATCGCGTATAACCCAAACCAGGTGGAAACATTTGTGGTTTGGCAGCTTTTTGGTAAAATGTATCAATTTCCGGCTACCCGCCATGAATGGCGTATCGGTTAATTCTCCAATGTAAAATAAAAGATGTATATACTTTCATACATCAAACCTCGCATCAGACGTTTAGTTGGCACAAGCGTTACACATAACCATGCGAAATTTTTCAGTTTTGACTGCATGCAAAACTAATTGTTTTTCCACGCTCCAAAATGGTTGTAAAACTTTTAGAATGCATAAAAATTTACTATTTTGGACTTTCGACCCTTCACCTTCGGACCTCGACTTTTGACCCTCGACCTATCGGTTAATTCTCCAATGTAAAATAAAAGATGTATACTTTCATACACAAACTTCGCATCAGACGTTTAGTTCCACAAGCGTTACACATAGCCATATGCTATGCCATACGATATTTTTCACAATGACACTCGACAATTAGCCAAACTCAGCTGTTATTATAATCACAGGACACATTTGACAATTGCTTATCGTGGATTCTTAATTTCCCTGGTTTATCACACATTTCAAATGCTTTATCAAATTCAAACAGTGATAACAAACGATATGGGAAATTATTATATGGCAAGCATCACTTCAATGCCAGGCATCTGAAAAAAGACCTCGGTCCGATATTTCTCTGTAAAGACCTCGCTCTCGGTTAAAGTGTGACTGTGACGAAAAGTCATCATCGAGAAAATTTCCTATTTTGCTAGCAACGACTTTATTATTGCACCAAAAATGCTTGTGTAAAATTTCAGGCGAGCATAATTATTAATTAACGACCGCGGAGTTACGAGCATTTGAAATGGCCAAAATCGCTGTCCGCCATTAAAATCCGCCATCTTGATTTTATGTTGTCACGAGAGGCTTCTGACGTCATTGTCTCAACACACCGCAAGAGCACAAGTAGAATTAGTAAGCAACGTAGAGCATCGCATATATTTCAAGAACTAAAATGTCAGTTTCGTTGCGATCTAGTAGCGTTTCGGAGTATTTGTCTGAAACAGATTCTCCCGCATCTCATCTGTTCATATGACAGCGAATTCAATGATACTATTGCTGGAGCCGCATCAGCCGCTTGCCTCGCTGGGTCCTACTAAAGAATGCCCGGGAATGCCCGGGGACATTCGTTGAATGCCCGGGAATGCCCGGGAGTTTGGAAAGAATGCCCGGGGAAAATTACGTTAATAATTACGTCGGTTATTAATAAAATTACTTATTTTATAAAAAAAATTAAATAATTCTTGTAATATATGGCATTCAGATGGCATTGCAAAATGCTGTTCACGGAATGTCCGGCTGTCACAAAAGAATGCCCAGGAGTCGGAAATGAATGCCCGGGGTTAAATTACGCAAGTAATTACGATAGTTAATGATAACAATTCTTTTATTTTTTAATGAAAGTTTGAATGTTTCTTGTAATACATGGCATTGCAAAAACTATTCACAGAATGCCTGGAGAAAATTACGTACCACCAATGTCTTCAAATCTACTCATAACCATAATCAGAAACTATATAACCATGATATATTGGTAGATACAGTAGATAAACTTAAACATGGCGGTTCTATTAGAAAAATCATGTCTCAGTCTCTACACACTAAAAACTGATTGGTCGAAATGACCAAAAAAAATTGGTCACCTCGATGCATCTGAGAGAACCAATTAAAAATGGTCGTTTTAACCAATAAAATTAACCATTAATTAATTGGTCATTTCAACCAATAATAATTGGTTAATATAACCAAATATTTTTGGTTGTTTTGACCAATTAATAAAATGGTTAATTTTATTGGTTAAAACGACCATTTTTAATTGGTTCTCTCAGATGCATCCAGGTGACCAATTTTTTTTGGTCATTTCGACCAATTTTTTTTGTCATTTCGACCAATTTAATGTCACAACCTATACACTGCATTAAAATGAAGAAAATTTGTGAGTCTTACATCACTGAACATGTATATATTATATACATGGAATTTAATAAAAAATATATCATTACAATATAATAAGACAATTAAATAAACTAGAGCTACCGGTACCTTAGAACTATGTGAGAGCAATTGCAAAGGAATACAATTACAATTGCTGTGTTGAGTGGTTATATTACTACCTAAAAACAAAAACAAGCAGAAACTCAACATTTCGAGCGAAGGGTCTTTACTCAAAACATTCAGTTTCTGTTTGCTTTTTTTTTCAGGTAATAATATAACCACTCAGCACAGCAATTTCACATTGGTACTACCCACGCTGGTACTAGTATACAGACAGTTTTAATACAATTACAAGCCTGCCAGCATGAATTGAACCTGCAGCCCTGCAATTCTACTGCAGCCATCTGACCTAAAGAGTCCTTTTGCCAAGATGTAACTTTCTGTATAATTATACCATGATGGTGGTGTCACTGGTAGTATATTAAATAAACTGGGATGACACTAGTATTGTATAAATGAACTCTTGGTTAGCTTGATGGATTCTTGGCGCTTGGACTCTCAGGGCTTGATGTTCCATAACCGGCACAGTACTTATTAGATAGTTATTGTTCAAAATTTCCATCTACAGAAATTTGGCTTTAACCCATTGAGTGGCAACACTCTCTCCTTCATGAGTAAAATTGTCTGGCATTAGACAGAAAAAATAATAAGGTAGAGCCCATTGCCACATAAAAGGTTAACATAATTCTCTTCAATGTAGAATATTTACAAGTTAGTATAATACCTGTACTGCATGTAGTGTTGTCACTGCTCAATCAAGCATGTCATACAAGTCCACTAGTTAAAATTTAAAAGTACAAGCTTCATACCACAAGTCAGCAACTCCATTCCTTGTCAGGTTTGTTAATCCATAAACATACTCTCCAGCAAAAGAATAACATTTTCCAAATAGACTATGCAGTACTTAAAATGCCATTAATGATTATATATATTGCCACTTGTTTAGACAACTTGCCTTCTGCTGGGAAGCTTTTATTAATAACTTTTCATTCAGGATCAGGATATATAATGAATCCATATTAAATACAATCTCTATTAAGAAAAAAATACATATTAAGGTTGATATATAATGGTAGCAAATTATTGATTGATTGACAATGAATTTCCTATTTTTGGTTAGTGTACAAAGCAAGAAATACAAAATTCAAATGCTTTCACTTGACATGTTTAATGTAAGACCAGCATGCAATTGAAGTAACATCTGCATCCAATACAACTATTCTCACTGGTAAAAGACTGTTTAAAATACTGGTGCATAACAACTGTTTTTTCCAAAATTCCTAATTGAAAAATATCATTCTATATAATCCAGCAAGGTAGATTTAGTGGCTGTTTATATGAGGTGATGGCACCTGTGTACCTGAGCTGGCCCAGTTTTGGTGAGATCCAGACTTTGTAATAATATTCTATATATTTCAACTTGTGTTTTACTTTATAATATAGAACTGAGCTGGACTTTTTTAGGAAGATGGGGGGCTTCGGTGGCAAAGCTGTTATATGCACTTGCCATTCACCTCTAAGGCTGCAGGTTCAAGCCTCAGTGAGAACTTTCTCAATGCGACTCAAACCCAGTCCTCATGTGAAGAGTAAAAGTCAACACTCTGTCGAAAGTCATGGGTTTTCTCCAGGTACCCCGGTTTCCTCCTACAGGGAAAGTTGACAGGGTGGGTGATGTAAAAGAGCCAATAGTAATTGGCACATGCTGTTGTGGTGACACCTAGTTGGCAAAGCTAAATAAATAAACTTAAGATACTGCCACAATTGACCCAAAATGTTGCTAATGCCAAACTAAGATTTTCCATATAAACTATATACAATGACCCGGGATTTGGCACAGTATTCATGCTTTGTTTAGGCATAATGTAATCTTCTAAATGACATTTCCCAATCAATTTGAATATTAATCCATTAAGCTGTAGAGTTGGAGTTTCCCTATTGACGAGTAAAATCATTTGGCCAGAGGTGTAACTTAACACTTGCCTGGGGCAAGTGAATATCATGATGGGCAAGTAAACACTTTATCTTGCTGCCCGATTGGGCAAGTTGCCTTGCCACTATTCAGTGTCAGATATATTTTGTTTTATAGTGCATGGACTTGGTTCAAATTTCATTTTTTGTGCATCAAAGCTATATCTGAGGCAGTATAACATAGCCATATAGCGCAGTGGGAGAACAGGTTGACATGTTGTCCCCTTAACCCATTGAGTCGCATTGCACCCTGATGCACCCTACTTTAGTATGTTACTCTGTCTAACGCCAGACGATTTTACTCGTCAAGGGGAGAGCGCTGGCGCTTAATGGGTTAACTGGCCTATCTGCCCATGTGTCTAGTTAACCCATTGAGTCGCATTGCACCCTGATGCACCCTACTTTAGCATTTTACTCTGTCTATACGCCAGAGCATTTTACTCTGTCTAACGCCAGACGATTTTACTCATCAAGGGGAGAGCGCTGGCGCTTAATGGATTAATTTATACCCCCTACTTAGGTACCCCAAGCAGCCATTGTCTGATGGCAAGTGAATTTATTCAGAGCAACTAATCCTTATGACCAACTTGCCCTGAGGGCAAGTGGTCAAAAAAGTAAAGTTACACCACTGCTGGCGCGTAGACAAGTAAATAAAATAAGTCGGTCGCACTAGGGCACATTGCGGCTCAATGGGTTAACTAGAGACATTGTCAGATTTTTTGGTTAACCCATTAAGCTGCAGAGCTTCCCTACTGAGGAGTAAAAGCGTCTGGCGTTAAGCAAGCAAAAAAAATAAGTAGGGCATACTGGGGCGCATTGTGGCTCAATGGATTAAAAGATCTCTGTGATTTTTTTTGTAAGTTACATTTCAAAACTGTGTGCAAAAGTATGTCAATTTATTTTATTGGAAATTATACAACTCAGTCTGGGTGATTTGTTTTGGCAAGCATGTTCATCTAAAGAGGCTCATGTAAACAGACATTCATCCAGTGAAAGCGGGCTATAACCAGGTTAGTTACCTGGACTGGCTTGCCTTTATATAAGCGGCCCCTTGCACATGTTTTAGGCTGAGTGGCTGACTGATAAAGCCACACATTGGGAAAGGCTGTCTACATGCTATTAATGTGAATATATACTAATACTGTCTTTAAAAGTGTGGGTAGTACCAATGTAAAAATACTACCTTAAAAAACAACTCGAGTCGACGTTTCGAAATTTATGAAGGCCCTTCGTCAATAGTGTAATTATGCATATTTCAAACAAATCACATTATTATAAAAGTATACATGTCAAGTGTCAACATAGCAAATACTTAACAGAACAACACATATGTATATCACAGAAATAAGCCGTCATACGATTTTCTTAGCAATACAGATAAGTAGAGACTGTTATGTAAACCGAAATTTACAACTGAACGTTTAGATGCCTTCGTAAAATCGGGACAAAGCGACTATAAAATACAGGCCTTCGATTTAAAAATATAACTACACAGTCTGTCAGTAACTACCCACATACAAATAAGTAAATACACAAGAGACATACCTTTGAAAACAATCTCCTTGTGTTCTATTAAGTCTTTCGATCTTTATAAGCAGAAAATTTGAATATAAATCTTTCCTGTTTGAATGTTTGCTCCCAAAAGATCGAACTTAGCGCGCTGATGTGAAAAGATTGAATTACTACAACACGTGATATATTCTAAGCATGGTAATTGGTTGAAACTTTGAAACTTCCACTTGGCGCAAATTATATTCAGCAGAATTCAGCAGCAGGACTTTCCACAAGTTCAAATTACAGATTTACGCAGCAAATAAAAAATAAACAACTGATATACTGAGAGCAATGACAGTACATTAATTTGACGAGAAAAACTTGATCGTCGTGCGCGATTGAACAATAAGAAGCCGATACTGCTAATTTTAAAAGCAATCTGACTTGGCAACATTTACGAAAAAGCGCGTCAACCAGCTAGATCTTGTGTCTTTGTCGGATGATTTTACACGAACTGCAGGCTTTCACTATACAAAGTGTATAGCAAATATTGCCCTAATTCAAGGTTGAAGAAACTTTAATATAGTTTCGGCCATTCCTATGGATTCCTATGTGTAATGGTCGAGTTATATTACACAGGCCGAGTAAAAACTAGGCGGAATATTACTCGATATTGTTTACTTCTACTATACGATTAATTGTGAAGTAAAAAATATGACTAAGTAAAATTTACTCGGTTATTTGGATTAGGAGTAAAATTTACTCCGTTATTCTGTTTGTGAGTAAAATTTACTCCGTTATATTTTACTCCTTTAAGTGGAGTTAAATTGACACTCAGTGGAGTATATGTTCGAATGCATATATCGAAGACGTAGGCCGAGTAAATTTAACTTTTTCACTCCCAATTTTTAATTCTCAGTGGAGTTGAAATAACTCCTTGAAATTAACAGTGAACACTCAACTAAATGACCAATAAAAAGTTGGTTATAATAACTTATATAAATTGGTCGAAAGATGACCAATTTTTTCGACCAATTTGTAATAGTCAAAGGAACCAAATTTAATTGGTCAAATGCGACTAACTAATTAAACAATTGGTCAAAATGACCAATTGCTAATGGTTGCAACCTAAAAAATTGGTCATTTCGACCAATCAGTTTTTACAGTGTAATGATGGTCTACCTGGATGACGATTGTTTAGATATTTACAAGCTTTTAATTTGTCGTCATCAAGATTTATAGTATAATAAAAAATACTGTAAATCCACACATTAATCTACGTTGATATAGTTTTTCAAAAGCATCCACATTATAATACTTAGAAAATGCGAAAAGTAGTGTTGAAAAAGATGGAAAAGTAGTGTTAAAATTACATGGTAAAATTATTACTTTAGACTGCAAACTTTCGTGAATGTTGTGTGCACACACTGTATGTACATCTTCAATTACACAGTGCAATTAAGGCTCCTGAATTCATTACAGCTATAAGGATACCAGCCAAAATAACAACGATAGTTCCACCAACCATGAGGGTGTGCCCAGTAATAGTTTCCCGCCAACCCTCTGTATCAGGCTCCTTTGTTGATCCTACTCTCAAATTTGATTCTTGCCTAAGTCTCTCTTGCTGGTCGTCCTGCATTTTTCGTTTTTCTTCTAAGGCAAGTTCGTCCTGTCGATTACGAACGGGGTAAAGGTCTTTACTCTGAAACATATTGCACAATGCTTGGTCGCAAACTTCCCCTTTCGTTTTATCGATGATAGCCACCACTGACGAAATCGGCTCTAAACTCATTTCGGTTGTCAATAAGGTTGGCTCTTTGGAGAGAGACGCCTTCCACATCAACAGCTTTTCTTCAGATTCTAGTGTGCTTTTTGTGTGTAGGTCACTTCGCCCTCCTTGCCATCGTGTTTCTGTTGTATTCAGGACAGCATTCTTTGCAATTTTGCTCGATGAATGGTTTTTTCCACTTGCTTTAACTCCGACAACGCCAGAACGTTTGGCACCAGCAGATCCATCTATAGATTCTTCATCATCTTTCGATCTTTCTAAACTTTCACCACAGGTTTTTACTTCTACTGCTCCACCAACATAAGCCGATGTAATCACAAAATGACCAAAACGATTAAAAAAATGTATTAATTCCTGCTTGTTCTTTTCCTCCTTTGTGTATCGATCGGGTAATTCTCTAACAGCAGACAAGAAATCTTTGGTGAAAGAGATCTCCTCCGATTCAAAATTTCCAATATTTATCTTCACTATGCGATACTCCGTCAATGATGACTTTGTAGTTTTGCTAGATTGACCACTGCTATCGTTTTTCCAACTTGTACTGACTCCAAATTGGGGGACCATTTTTAATACAGTCGGTGCCAGGTCAATATTTAGGCCCAGATTTCGCAATCTAGACTCCATGTATGATTCATCCGATGTGAAGTCCATTTGGTACTCCCGAGTTTCATTGACTTTGATGATTTGAGCACAAGTAGGAATTCTAAAGCCAAACTTTGTATCATCTACATCTGAGAACGTCATAATCTGAGCAGGAACGGATTTGTCTACAATGATGTTATATCCTTGGCCAACAAATTCAGCTAAAGGAAATAAACAAAGTTGAGACATACGACTATAATTATTAGAGGAAAGGTATGTGCTAATCTGATTCCATGGCCAATGTCCTGAAAATGATTTTAACCCAATGACAATGTTAGAAATCTAAACGTCCTTACATCAAGGAAATGTATAAGTGTACTGTCCACAATAGAAGCTGTACTGTATCTTTGAGATGGACTAGCCCGGCTGACCGGGCTGACTAATTTCTTTAATTAAATTAAGTTAATTTAAATCTTTAGATCTCTAAAGGAAAAATTTTCCTGACACAAATCAGCCAGGATATGCGGATTATCCCGACTCACATAAACAGCCCCTTAGATCTAAACCATATATATATATTAAATAAATCAAGAGAAAATTCAAGTTGAAGATGTGAACTCCATGCATAAATTGGTGTCGAATCGAAATGATTAATATGCACAGGATCAGACATATATACGTTACTTTTATCAACGAATAATCAACGAATCCAATAAAAAGACACACATATGCTTGTTACGTCAATAGAGTCTTTTTTTAATTCATGAGCAAATGATTATGTCATGCACACTCACACATAAATGCATGCGTATAGTATGGGAAAATATCAAGATTTTGTTGGCATCTCACTCGTTTGAATAATAATTGAAGGATGATTCTTTATGGAAATTATCGAGCGGTCGTCTTCGTTTACTCCAATCAGTCCGCAGAAATTTGACAGCGGCGTCAGCTATTGATATCTACAATATGATGATACTACCAATTCTAACCTATAGTAGTACCATCAAAACAATTTTTACTGACTCTCAACTAGCAAAGTTTACATCGTTTGAGAGACGCGCGTGCAAGGTGATTGGCACCGAATCTATACCGAATACCAAAGAACTGGTGCAATCGCAAATTTGTTCTATGGTAGAAAAGTGTCTCCAGAAGAATTTTGAACATGATACACTCGACAATTATTTTCAAATGGTTAATCATGAGAAAGAAACGAGAAACAACAGCATTTCTATTGAACTGCCACGAATTAAGCTGTAATTAGCTAAGCAGAGGCTTCTACTTCGGTGGAGCAAAACTGTTTAATTCATTACCAGCAACAATACGAAGATCTATGATTTTGAAATAGTTTATCTTTCAAGACATTTTAACTTTGTAAATATTATAGTTGTAAGATATTTTATCCTATTTGTCCATTCTTATATAATTATGTAATTTTTAGGCTTATATTTATTAACTTTTTGTCTACCTATTTTTGTTATTCTTGAAACTTTACAGGACAAACATTGATAGCAATTTTTGTAATTAATTATTTAATTTTTGCATAACTGACGTTTTTATCCTGTTAAAATATTCATCAATAATAATAATAAAGTGAATTATCGAGTTAAGAACGACTTAAAAATTTCGCAGATATGAATAAAACTGACAACACAAAGCAAGTACGGCATGGAATTTTACTGCTGAAATGTTTACACTTACCCAAACCGGCACAACAACGATTAAATTATCAAAGACATCAACATCAAAACATCAAAACAATTATTAGGCCTATATACAGGGTGTATAAAAAAAAACTGAACAGATTTAAAATTGCTCTCAATTTCGCAAAACAGCTATTTGTATCCGGTTTTATATATATATAGCCTCTTTGGGTACTTATAATGTAGAATAATGAGAAAAAATTCTTGAACTCAAATTTTGTGAACCAGGGGGGGTGTCTTTTCCAACAAACTAAAAATGGCTCGCGCACAAAATTTAAAAGGTGCAATCATATTTTGAGTTAACAGATGGAAAATTTGTCGGGATTTTAATTACTGTACAAAATTTCAGACAATTTGGTTTAGTTTAATCCCTTAACTATTCACGCAAAGTTACAATTTTCCCGAAAAATCAGCTATTTGCATGCTTAATTAATGTATTTGCCTAATTTGCATATGTCAGCAATATGCAAATTAGATAAAGGCATTAATTAAGCATGCGAAAGGCTGACTTTTTAGAACAAAATGAATAGTTAAAGGGCTTAAACTAAACCAAATTGTCTGAAATTTTGTACAGTAATTAAACACCCAACAAATTTTTAATCTATTAACTCAAAATATTATTACAGCTTTTAAATATTGTGCGCGAGCCATTTTTAGTTTGTTGGAAAAGACACCCCCCCCCCCCTGGTTCACAAAATTTGAGTTCGAGAAGTTTTTTTCATTATTTTACATTATAAGTACCCAAAGAAGCTATATACATAAAAAACAGATACAAATAGGTGTTTTGCGAAATTGAGAGCAATTTCAAATCTGTTCAGTTTTTTTTTATACACCCTGTAGTACAAACGGTTGAACAGCCACAAATTCATGAAACTGCAGGCTTAATTCCAGTTAAAATCGAGATATTAAAAAAAAACAAAAAAAAAACGTGTTGTACTTTTGTAAACTTTTTAACGAAATTTAAATAAAAAAATGCCGTAAAACAGCAAAATACGTTCAAAATACGTCCTTTGAAAATGAAAAACAATTACTTTAGACAGAGCTTGTACTCGCGCATGCGCAAACGTCGAAAACCGTCCATGACATAAACAAAATGGAGGACAACTTTGCACTCCGCTATGTTTTCACATACCCGGGTATATAATTAGCCGTGCGGAATTAATACCTCGCATGGCGCTTCGCGCCGCCGGCTCGGGAATAAATTTCCACTCGATAATTTCCATCTACAATACCGGCTTCAACTGTGCGTATAGTATACCTGGATTAAACGAATCTCTTTCACTTTTAATTCCAAATTTCTGCGCAAGCATTTTGATCCCATGTTCGGAAATCTCCTCGCCATGAATACAATTTATTTCTCCAATTGTTACAGACTGCAGTCTTGCTTCATCAGTCAATCCCATAGAATTCATAGTTTCTGCGAGTTTCAAAACCTCTTCTTTCTGTGATTTGCCAAGCTTCTTTTCTTTAATATACTCCATTGCACGCTTAGCGATTGAATTTACACCTTAAAATAATTATTAAACAGTTATTGGATGAGGTTTTTCTGATATCCAAAATTATCAATGTCGAGGTCATAAAGATCGAGGAATTAAAATGACATTGACCGAGACCTTAATCGTTCGGAATATCAGGAAAATCGAATTCAATAACGGTTTTCAATATCACAAATTCGGAATATTACAAAACCCGACTTCAATAACGGCTGACAGGTCCGAACTGAAAAATATTTTCTCGAGGTCTCAGACGCGGAAAGAGGCCGAAGGTTGAGGTAAATAACGACATTGGTAACGGTAAATAACGACATTGGTAACGGTAAATAACGGTAAAAAACGCAACGTATTTATTTCTTGCTCGATGGCGATGCCTAAATAATTTTAAAAAAGTGCCAGTGTTGCGAATTGAGCCCAGAAAGCTGTATACACTGGCCTTTAATTAACGTACTTTTTAAATTTTTGTGTTTTGACTTGCAAGCAGGGCCGTCGCGAAGGGGTTAAAGCACGGGGGGGAGGGGGGGGTAGATCGCATTTGCCGGCAACTTTTTGCCGCCGCTAACTTTTAGCCGCCGACAGCTTTTCGCCGCTTTTCCCAAAATTGTTGGCGAGCGGGGGAGGGGAGGGGGAGGGGTGGGTGTAAAAATTTTATCATTTTCATTCTTGTTAATATTTTCGTAAATTCAGTCTTCACATTTTTGCTATAACTATTATTTTTAATTAGTTTCACTCAAATATTTTAGTTCTTTTTCTTCCTGTCCAATTCGTGTTTTCCCGACAAATCCGTCATTTTGCCAAAAACGTTTTTACACACCCCTAGCGACGGCGCAAATTTTTTTCCGTAGACAGTCGGACTCCTCATTGATGATATGACATCTTTATTTTCACACGAAGTCCATTCACAATTACAAATATATGCTCTTCCATGGAGACGTGCATTTAACTAATAAAAAACATATAAATATAGGAAAACCTAAACTACTTATAGAAATATGTACATGCAATATATGAATTTACGAGATGATAGACATAAACTCACTCCTAAACTGTGCACTGGATATTTGGACGGGTATGTTGTTCCACAAAATTGCACCTCTATAACTAAAACTTTTCTTACGAGATTCTGACAGGGGTCTAAGAACAAAAAAATTATGATTTGCCCCACGTAAGTTATGCTCGTGCACTGAAGAAGTGCGGATGAATTTATTGGTTAATTTAAATAACTAGGAACCATATTATTGGCCGTCTTATACATTTATTTCTTGAACTGTAGGGCACGCCCATCTTCTAGATTAGTCCAGTTCAATGATCTTAAATTTTCAGATGAGCGAGTGTAATAATCAGAACCAGTAATGATTCGCGCAGCCCTGTTTTGCATTCGTTGGAGCTTTTGCCCTAGACCCTTAGCCAGATTATCCCAAATAACACTACAATAGTCAAAATGTGGCTGAATTAAAGAATTATAGATTAGCACAAGGGCTGAAAGTGGGAGCAACGGTTTTAGTCTCCTCAAAACTCCGATCACCTTGGAGACTTTAGAAACAATCGCAGAGACATGAGTCTCCCACGTTAAACCCCTCGTCCACTTCTAAGCCTAAACATTTACATGATTTGACTCTTTTGATTTCATTTCCTGAGATAGAAATGTCAAGTTGTTCAGGAATATTACTTAACCTTTGTCGAGAAGCAACAAATATATATTTTGTTTTCGTTACATTAAGGCTAAGCTTATTCATGTCGAGCCAATTTTGTAGAATTTTTAAATCGTCGTTTAAAACAGAAATAATCTTATTGAGGTCACCATCAACATATGTTAGATTGGTATCATCGGCGAATAAACGCCCAATAGATACCAACTGACATTTATGGAGGTCATTGATATAGAGTAAGAACAGCAGAGGGCCCAGAATAGATCCATGTGGAACGCCACATGTTATCTTACAGCTACCCGACGATACATTATTGATAACAGTGATTTGTGTGCGTCCAAATAAGTAGTTTCGAAATAGTTCTACTGTTTGGCTGCTAAATCCATAACGGTTTAATTTACCTAGGAGAATCTCATGGTCGATGGTATCAAGGGCCTTCTTTAAATCAACAAATAGTATGGCATTAATCTGGCCGTTATCCATATTCGTATATCATTCATCTGTGGCGTCAAGCATTGCTGTTAATGTAGAATGAAGGTGTCTAAAACCAGACTGCTCTTTAGATAGAAGATCGTTGTTGTTGAGAAAATTGTAGGTTTGATCAAACACGACTTTCTCAAAAACTTTTGCAATTACTGGAAGAACTGACATTGGCCCATAATTGTTGAGATGAAGTTTTGAGTCACTTTTATGAATTGCAGAAACTCTGGCACTTTTCCAGTCAGCTGGAATAATTCCTTTACAAATCACCAAATTAATAATATAGGCTAGTGAATTAATTGTCGTGGGGGCACTTAATTTTAGTAACCGCACAGAGATGTTGTCCAGACCACTCGCCTTACAAATTGAAAGTTTATCAATTACTCTAGAAATTTGGACTGTCGATACTTCATGCAATTGGAAAACAAGGTTATTGCGGTTAATGTTATTAACAGCTGAATTCGTATTTGTAGGGATTTGAGCTGCTAAATTCGGACCTGTTTCTGTGAAGTATTCGTTGAAAGCATTGCTTATCGCCTCAGGATCAGAAATTTCGGTGTCATTTAACACAATTTTAGGGATTTGCCTTAGATAGAATGCTGTTGATACCTTTCCAAGTTTTCTTGGTACGACCAACATTATTTGAAAAGTATGAATTATAGTATTTCTGCTTACTATTTCTGATCTTATAATTTACTAGGGTACTAGGGGACACCCAATCACTTTCGCCCTTGGTGATTACAGCCTTACGTTTTAAATGATCTCTTTCCCACATCAGATTCTTAATTTCAGCTATAAGCCATGGAGCACTGATTTTTCGTACTCTTCTCTTTTTGATAGGCGCATGCTTGTCAGTAATTTGCAAAAAGAATTTTTTCCAAGTTTCCCAAGCCTTTATATACGATCATCATAAGATCCCACAAAGTGCCAGGGAACTGATTCAATGTCACGCTTAAAGTTGCTTTTATTAAAACCTCTATAGTTACGGCATTGTATTGTTATTGGCTTAGATTTAACACTTGAGTGTTTTCTAACAGATAGATAAGATTATGGTCGCTAATACCAATAGTATTAACGCCTGCAGTCGTAAAGTTATTTGGCTCATTTGTGAGAAAGAGGTCAATTAGCGTAGAAGAACTGCTAGTAATTCTAGTATAGGCTCTTAATGAGTTGATTATATTGATATAACTCAGTTAGTTCTAGTAGCTGATGGGTATTATTGTCTACTACATTGGCAGATACGTTGCAATTCAAGTCACCAATTATGTTGTTTTCAATTCCCAGAGATTCAACCTTGTCTTATAGGTCTTGAAATTTGTCAAACAGATGAATTGAAGAGTTTGGAGGTCTGTAGCATGTAGAGACAAGAAACGGCTTGACTTTGGGCTTGGAGATTTGAACACAGAGAAACTCGAGATCTTCATCCTTGATATCGTTTCTAATTGTGTCTCCAATTGAACATCGGATGTACATAGCTCCCTGTCTAGATCGGTCTCTTCTTACGATGTCGTATTTATCAATAGAAATTTCAGCATCGCTTATAGTATCATCAAGACGAGTTTCATTTAGTATGAGTATGGCTAAGTATTGATTTATCATGTTTAGTCTAAGTTCGTCTAAATGCTTCGGTAAGCTTGCAATGTTGAGGGATGCAATTTTGAAACCTCGGGCTTTAGGAAGATTAAAATCGTTTTGTTTACGCAAATTAGTGTCACTATTTCCTGAGGTCTCACACGGTGGATTAGACATACCCATCATTAGCAATCAATAATAGTCGGACGCATCATTGACCCACGCCCAGAAAACATTCAGCGGATGCTCTTCTTATTAGATGGTGTACCAGTGGGTTACGCAGGGTACGAACAACGAAGGGATTGATCGATAATGCGCGGAGATCTGGACGCGGATCAATGATACGTCCGACTATAAACGAGGAGTCCGACTGTCTACGGGGGAAAAAATTGCAGCGACGGCCCTTGTTTTGAGGATACCTAATTGTATGTTCCAAATATTTTACATTTGAATTTTGAACGTATATTTTTCGAAGAATATACATATGCTAAGCCTACGTATTTGAAACAAAACTTGACTGTAACTGCATTGTTTTTCGGCAGTCAATTGTTTTCGAATTTCGGTCGGAGAACTAGTACATTTCGGGCTTCACACAAAGTTGATTGCAGTCAATTCAGTTTCTTTATCTATCTTAGTTTAGTATTGATAAGATGTACTATTGAAAACGCCCAGCACGGGAGTGTTTTGTGTTGAATGTAGCTGCTGCTTTTTTAAAAAAATTAGTGTATCTATGGACTGTGGAAGAACTGAGTTTTTACGCCGTGGAAAAATTGACAAACGGCGAGAAAAATTAATATATAAGCACTACGAGCATTTATAAATTGTACGCTTTATAATACATAGCGCTCAATTACAGCCACAATGATGGGACCTCCAACTTTCGCCTCTCAAGTCTGCTATCATTTAAATTTCGAAACTTCTATGCGTTAACATGCAGTGAATCTAATGAAAAATGGCTTCGCCATACTCCATAATTTGGTAACAGCCACAGCAACACAGAACAAAATACAGTATAAATAACAATAGGCTGTACAAGTGGAAAGTTTCGCTTTTCTATTCTTTGTGTATCTGTTCTTTCACATCCCTTAGATACAGTAAATTCTGTAAAACGTGTTTTCCACGAGATAATGCGATTATTTTATTTAGAACAAATGAAAATGCATCTTCTAGTTGACTAGTTCTGTTCAGGGGCGCACATTAGGGGGGGGGGGG